ATTCTGTTGTGAATTTCGACTTTTTTTTGTTTTTTTTTTTTCAAAGTAATCTATATTATTCTCTCAACCTATTTCATCTTTCTTGGTAGTACGCATCTATCTCATCCTCTCACTAGTCTATTTATAGTACGGGGGAACACCAACCAACATTGCCCTTAGGTAAAAGTTGTTTTTATTGCAATGTTGTACACGTTTTTATTTTTCTGGAAATTTCTGATTATTTGCAAAAAATTGAATATGACAGTTATATTCGACCCTACATTCTATTCGAAAAAACTTCAGCGATTTCGGGGAACCCGGTTTTCCAAGGTAAGTTGAATAGAACGTACGAGCACTGTGGCCAGCGCCTGCATCTCCACTTCTTCCCCGCCTACCTAGCCTATATTAGCATTGGTCAAATCCTTGTGGCATCATACCCCACAATATTGCCTAAGGTCCCGATCATGCTCCCTGGGGGCCCAGCTGGCTCTTACTACATATGATGGAAGGGCACCAAACATGCCCAGGCAAGGCACATAGATGAGGCCGTGGGTTCAGTGGGCATATGAGTGCGGCCATGGGGATTGAACCCACGACCACCACCAGCGAGGCGGGCCTCTACGGACTACTGACAGTGTTTCGACCTGATGAACGAATAGAACCGGCCCTAGGCAGGCTGGTACATGCAAAGTGTGTGTAAACCGGCGAGGAAAACATACGGAGGGAGGGGGGCGGGAGGGGGGCGGGGGAGAGTGGAGCTAATAAATGACTGTTTTAGGATATTCTATGATTTATTTTCTTTTCAGTGTTATTTTACGCTTTTATCTGAAATTCGAACTGAGGTCTGGACTTCAGCAGCCGATGCGTGTACCAATTGAGGCCCGTCGGTATGTTCTATTTCTATGATTTTCTGGTCTCCCAGTCGAAGGCCTCCGTCTTGGTAAGAAGAGCATAGAACGTACCCCCCCTCGAATGGAACGTGGAAGGCTGTGTTTGCGACACGTGTTCCTTCTCCCAAATTCGAAGTATACGGCAGCATATAAATCGTAAGCTGGACACGTGTTCGTTCCTTACAAGGCCGTTCTCGCGATAAGTATCCCGTCCTCTTCCCGAATGCGACAACCGTGACTGGCTTCCTTCGATAAATGGATAAACCAACCGGTCAATCAAATCCTTTCATAACCCAAGTGTCAATCAGTCAGCCAACCAATCAACCGATCAACGACAACAGTCAATCAAACGATCAATCCATCCGATCGATCCTTCAATCAATCAATCAATCAATCAAGGAATCAACTCAGCAATCAATAAATCAACCGATTCCAGCCATCAATCCAATCCATCAGTCAACCGATTCCATCTATCAATCAGTTTAATCAATCGACCAATTCGATCAGCGAGTCAACCATCTGCTCTTACTTTGTTGCTGTTGCATCGTCTGGCGTAGCTTGATTCGCAGCATGCTTCTTTCTTTCCCTCCTCCCTCTCTTGCTTGCCGGTACTCTCACTCTCCTGTCCGTTCTCTCTAGTTCAGCTTACGACTCTAAGTACTCCCGAGAGAGAGAGAGAGAGAGAGAGAGAGAGAGAGAGAGAGAGAGAGAGAGAGAGAGAGAGAGAGAGAGATTCTAAATCAGGAAAAAGGTGTGT